TGTTAAAATGATAAATTTTAATTTATGTATATTTTACCACAATAAAACATAACTAAGAATTTCTGCCCATCAACATACACCAAAAGGAAAGTAAAATTATGAGCCACACTCCTACAAATCAATAAGGAAAAGAAAAAAAAATAACTTTTTGGCAAAAAACTTAACAGAAATGCCCCAAATGCATGAAAAGACTTTTCTTAGTAACAGAGAAATGAACGTTAAAACAACACCGAGACAGCACAGCATATCTCCACTTTGGCAAAAATCTAAGTCTTATAATATCAAGTGTTGGTGAAGATGTGAAGTCAGGCCCATTTTTACACTGCTGGTGGGAGTGTAAACTATTTCAACCACTTTAGAAAACCTCTGGCACTGTTTAAAACCAAAGATGTGTACACTCTATAACCTAGCAATTCCACCCCAGAAAATATTCCCTGGAGATGCTGGTGCCCATATGTACCAAAAACAAATACAAAACTGGTCATAGCAACACCATATGTAATAGCAAAAAATTGCAAATCACTCTAACGCTCATCTGGAGTCAACAAATAAGTAAACTGTGGCATGTTCATGCAATGATATGCTTGCTGCCAACACTTAGGATCTGTGTGATCTTGGAAAGGTACCCAATCTCTCTGTGCCTCAGTTTTCTTATCAGTATAATGGGGCTAATCCCAGTATCTACTTTACAGTGTTGGTGCAAGGATCAATGTCATGATCCAAGACTCTTAGAACAGTGCCTAGAACACAGCAAGCTCTCTCTCTTTGTAAATGTTGATGTCAATAAGGTTCCCTGGCTCCTGCCCTGGAGAGAGCCTCTCCTGACACTAGACCACACTCAGTCTTTCCCCGTCCGTTCAAGCAGTGTCTTCTTGCATCTCTTCCACCTCACTGTCCCCTTTTGACTGTGCCCCACCTACGGCTCTACTCGTGTAACACTCGGAACTGCCTCCTGCCTCAGTAGCTTTGCACACATGTGCTGCCTCCTTCCTGGTGTGCCCTTCCTACCTTCTCTGCCTGCCCAACACCCACTGCCCTTGCCCACACCCAGTTCAGACACCCCTCCTCTGCCCTGCCCTTCCCTCTGGGCTTCCATGGTCTGCTGGGCTTCGGTCTGTATTTCAACCCTCTGGTTACTTGCCTGTCTCCTCCCGCTAGACTGTGAGACCCCTGCAGGAACCTCCCCCCCCATTCAACAAATTGTAATAAAGTCCCATAAACACTCAAACCCCTTAGCCAAGCCTTTGGTAGCCTGGCTAAGCACAGACTCTGGAATCGTACAGAACTCGATTCAAATCCTGACTTACTGCTTACTCGCTGTGTGACCCTGAGTGAGTCACTTAACTTCTCTGAATCCCAGTTTTCTTACTCAGTAAAATGGGGGTATTGACACTGGCTTTTAATGCTATTGTGAGGATGAAATGAGATGACATCTAAGAAGCTCCTGGTCTGTAGTAAGCACTCTAATAAAAAGAGCTATTCTTAGGCTGCCTGTCTGCTGAGAGAGCACGCTCCTCCCTCCCTCCCTCACCTCCTGACTCGCGGCAGCTGCAGAGAATGGACCTAAGCCTGGGAGTCCGGGTGGGGCCTCACTGGTGATGATGGCTGGACTGAGAGCAGTGCGGGGGGCACGGGCCAAGCTCCCCCGACCCCCAAACACTCCCGCTGCTACCCCAGCCACACAGCAGCTCAGGACAGACAAGAGCATGCATCTCAACCCTGCTCTCCGCCCCTGCAAGAGTCTCTATTTCCAGCCAGAAGAATTCAACACAACAGCCTCTCATACCAAACTCCCAGCAGTCCTGGGGCCCAGCTGGCTGTCCCCATTTCATAGAGAAGGCAACTAAGATTCAGAAAAGAGACAATCCTTGTCTAACTAAAGTCGCCCCGTAGTAAGAGGCAGAGCCTGACCTTGAACTCCTCTGTCTGCCCCTGCCACAAGCCGGGCTGCCTCCAGGGGAAAGTGCTAGGGCCTAAACGGGACTCCGACCAGCTGGGCACTGTGTCCACAGTTGCCCACGCCCCACTCAGCCCGGTCTGCAACCACTTGCCCGTCCCTGTCACAGCCCAGTCCCAATGCCTCTACTGCAGCTGGTACCAGTTGCCATGGCAACGGGTTGTTTGGGAAGCTGTGGGATGATGGGCTGTGCTGCAGAGTCAAGGATGGACCCCGGAGGAGAAAGCAGTCGTGGACTGCTTCCAGTCAAGCCAGACAGGAACGTGGCTCCACCACCGCGCTCAAACAAGCCCCCCAAAATGCTGCAGACCCAGGAATCCCATTTCTGGGCATCTGGTCCAGATCAATCATTGGAAGTAGGGAGAAGCCAGATGCACAAGGATGTTCAACCCAGCCTTAGTTATAGCAGGACAAAATTGCATATGTCAATAACAGGTAATATTTTTGAGTATTTTTCTTGTACCAAGTGCTTTGTTAAATGCCAAAACGCGTCACCTCAGTCAATCCTTACCACCACCCTAGGAGCTAAGTACTTTTAATGCTCACATTTTACAGATGTGGGAATCGCCCTCAGAAAGGTGAGGCCACTTGCCCAGGTAATTCAGATAGTAGCAAAGCCAGAACAGAATGTCAGTCTACTGGCCTCCAGCGCTCGTGTTCTTAACTATACTACGGTGGATGGAAATGAGAAAAGGAAGTTCCAGCCCATCCTCTCATCCTGACAGCGCCCGTGGCTGTGACAAATATGTCCGTGGACAGCTATGACGCAGGGTTCAGGAAAAGCACAAATTCAGCAGAACAATGTGTACCAACTTGGAAAGATCTGCGAATACGATAGAGCTTAAAAAACAAAAAAAGTCCCAGAACAAAAAGGCATAGGATGAGCTTGTTTAGATATAAACAGGCTCACTGTGTAGCTGTGCATATATGCATAGAAGCCCACAAAGGGACACTAGAAGGACACAAACCGCGAACAGCAGCCATCTCCAGATGAAGGGCAACCGGGCCGGGAGGTACTAAAAGGGACTTCCGTACTCTGTGTTAGCAAATTAAGTGTCAAGTTTTTTTAAATGCCAAAAAAGGAAATTATAAAATTTGATACATGTGATCCCATTTCTAGGTGAAGAAAAGTACATACACATAGGAAAAAGATGGAAGGAAGGACATAAATCAACATTTCAACAGAAGTTAACTCTGAGTGTTGGCATTATGGGAGATTTTTATTTCTTCTTTATTTTATATGATAAATACATATTACTTTTTAAATGAAATATTAATGGTTTTGAGTGATGTTTACAAAGACAATGTAATAGCAATCCAGTGTAATTACAAATGCTCCTTGATTTACGATGGGTTTATATCCTAATAAACTCATTGTAAGTTGAAATATACTAAACTGAAATGCATTTAATGCACTGTGAAGCTGCGGTCCCCAACCCCCGGGCTGCGTACTGGTACCAGTCCATGGCCTGTTAGGAACCAGGCCGCACTGCTGCCTGAGCTCGGACCCCCACCCCCACCCCAGCCCAGTCCATAGAAAAATTGTCTTCCGGGAAACTTAGGAACCAGGCCCCACAGCAGGAGGTGAGTGGTGGCCAAGGGAGTGAAGCTCCATCTGTATTTATGGCCACTCCCCACACTGTCATCACAGCCTAAGCTCAGCCTCCCCCGACGCCGTCCATGGAAAAACTGTCTCCCATGAAACCAGTCCCTGGTGCGAAAAAAAGGCTGGGGACTGCTGCAAAAAGTATCAGTTGTTTCGATCTTGTGCCTGACTGAGCTGACTCTGCTGCCCGGCATCAGGGAGAGCACAACACAGCACATCGCCGGCCCGGGAAAAGATCAAAATTAAAAATTCGAAATACAGTTTCTACTGAATGCATATTGCTTTTGCAACATTGTAAAATCGAAAAATTGTAAGCCTCATCATTAGTCAGGGACGGTTTATGCAGTGCCAAATAGCCATAAACAACACACTGGTTCCTATCCCAGCTCTACTAATTGGCTGTTTGGCCCCGACTAGCCATTTCACCTCTTGGAGCCCCAGTGTCCACATCAGTAAAGTGGGAATATAGCAACAGTATCTACCTGGTAGGGTTGTTACTGACACAGAGACTGGAGCTAAAGTGTTTAGCACAGTACCCAGCACATGTTAAGCACGCTGGATGCTGCTGTGCTGGCAACGTGGGAGATACGCAGACAGGCAGGGCGCCCAGCTGCCAGGACAGACACCCGGGTTCATGCCCTGCCTGTCCTTTACCAGCTGGGTCTGTCAAGTGAGTGTTCAATCAGAAACACTTAGCACATAATACACATTCAATAAATGTGATAAAAATTCAACTATGTCAGCAGTATACACCAAAATCCGGTAGTGTCAACTCGGGCCTTTGGTGTGTAAACACATAAGCTATGATCGTTAATAAAATGATGATGATGATTATAAAAAAGGAGCAATGGGTGGGAGCAGTGGATGTAGGGAACATGACCAGGCACTCGCTCCCTAGATGTGTGAGCCTACAGCATTCTGTTAACTTCCCCGAGCCTCAGTTTCCCCATCTGGTAATACAGAGCTAATGCCTATCTTAAAGGGCTACTGTTAAACACTAAAGAAAAAGCAAATTTAACATTAATTAAGCAATCTACTTTGTGCCTTATGCTGTGCTAGGCACATTATTTTACACCATAATCTCATCTAATCCTCAAAACAACCCCATTAAACTGTAATTGATATTCCTTCTGCACAGATGCAGAAACACAGAGGTTAAAAAATACCCCAGGGTCACTGAGCTAGGAAGCAAAGGCAAGATTCGAACCCAGGACTCACTGACTCCAGAAGATAATGACTACTCACAAGGATTCAGTAAACATAGCATATTTTCTCCTTCCAGACTCGATAGGCCTCAGTTTACCCAGTTTATGTAAAATGTGAAAGAGAGAATGTTAAGAAGCCATCTAGCTTAGGGCTATTAAATCCCACCGCCAAGCATGGTACGTGGAGCCGTGGCCTGGCCCTTCCCATCCCAAACTCTCAGACTCGACTTACCAGTGTGGGGCAGCCTCCTGGGCTGGCTTCCTCTGGCTCACCCTGGTTGGGGTTGTTTGAGCTTCTGTCTGCGCCCTGGTCTCCGGCACAAGGCACCGGCTCCCTCTGCACCGTCTCAGCACACTCACACATGCTCTGCCCCACGCACGGGCCTGAGCAGGCCTCGCTGGCTGTGGGCTCCAGGGAGGAGCTGAGGCTGCCCAAGGGCTCTGGGGAGCTGGCACGGATATCGGTGGGGGCAGCGAGTCCTTGCCCCAGACTACCCCCAGACGCTGGCTGAGCCTGGGCCTCCAGCTCCTCCTGGTCGTGTGACACGGCAGGGCCTTCAGCACCGCCAGGCCCTGTACCGTGCTCAGCCTCTTGCTGCGCTGCAGAAGCCCGTCCGGACGCTCCCAGGCCCCGTGCAGGGCTCTGCGGAGGAGCCGGTGCAGCTGGGCTGGGGGCCTCCCCTCCACTGGGCACCGGGAAACCAACAGGGCCACAGGGGCCGCCTGGCTGGGCCCCATCCCCTGCAGCGGGCCAACACCCAGACTTCTCAGTCCCTGGGTCACATGCCGCCCAACATCCACCTGGATCTCCAGGCCCAGACCCAGCATCTTCGGGAGAGAGGGGTCTGGGGGGGCCTGCCAGGGACTCCAGGTCAGCAGCTTGCGGAGGGCTGCCCACACTCGGGCACTGATCCCCACCAGCCCCCTCCACACCCTCTGACCACACCCTGCACCTCCTGCTTTTCTTTCTTGCTCCCTCGGGGGCTGGGCCTGGTGGGCATGGCAGGCCCCTTTCAGGGGACTCCTCATTGCTGAGCGTGGGGCATTTTCCATCACACCCTGGAGAACTCATCCCACCATCTCTGGCCTCCCTGGGCCTGGGGCAGCTTGCCTCCTCCACCCCTGCCAGCCTGACCACAGCTCTCTCTGGGAGACACCCAGGCATACTACAAAGATTCCTGGTGCGTTTTTCAGCTAAGATGTCGTGCAGAGAAACCTGGAGCCTCTTGGAGGCCTGAGCCCTCCTCTGAGCAGGCACTGTGCACAGCTGCATCGAATCCTGGCCCTGTCCGGCAGCTTGCAGCTCCAAGATGCCCAGGCCGGCCCCAGCAGCAACCCCAGTCCGGGAGCTGGCACCTCGACGGGCCTCCTGCCGGAGCGTCCTCTTCCTGCCGCCTGCCCAAACTCGGGCCCCAGAGCTCGCCCCTGGAAGGTCTGGTGTCAGGCCTGGCATGGAGCTGGCTCCTGCCATGTCCTCCTGGAAAAGCCCACAGCTGAGTCAGGGACTGAATGTGCTGCAGTCCTCTGCATCCCCTCCTGGGACATGTCTGTCTACCTACCTGGGCCACACGCAGAACGCAGGCACTGTGTGGAGGGAGAGAGACGGGCTTCACCGCGGGGTCTGAACTGCCAGTCCGTTCAGGACACCAGGCCAGTGGGAAGCTGGGAGGCAGCCCCCCTTCCCACCAGTGCCCCGGCCCTGCCCACCCTGAGGCCTGGAGGTGAGCACTCCAGGGGTGTAAGCACCCCCACAGGACCAGGTGCCCCAGGGCAAGGGAGGACAGGCCTGCCTCCAGCCAAGGCTGAGCTAGAGCGACCTTCAAGGTCTTCCCGCCTCTCAGAGTTTACACGTTTGCTTAAATGGGATCTAATAAAAAGATTCCACTTATTAATGACTAACTTATATGCACTATTTCATCTCATGCTGGCAGGCACAGGTGAGGACACTGACATCCTGAGATGCTAAGTGATTCGCCCAAGGACACACGCACAGGAAGTGGAAGCAAGCCCCGCTCAAGCCACTCCCCGCGGAGCAGAAACTGAAGGGGGCTCCTGCCCCCACCCCTCCCCCTCCCTCCCGTCCCCGTTCTGAGACACCCCCACCCAAGTCCCCAGGCCTGACTGGGACAGTCCTCAACCACCCAGGGAATCCGGTCCAGGCTCGCTCACCTGGGGCGCCCGGGTTGCCCCTGCTGGGGTTCCACCGTCTAGCTGGGGAGGGTCTGGGATCACGTGACGCGGGGGGGGGCCTTGGCAAGGGATGGGGCGGAGTCCCCAGGATGCGCACAGGTCGGCGCCCCAGGCGTGCTGGCGTTCCGGCCCGGCAGAGGGCGCTCTCTCCCACCGGAGGGCTTCCTGGAGGAGGTGCCAATCCCTCCGGCTCCCGGGCAGGGGGAGGTGGGTGCTGAGTCTCGGGCGGCAAAGGGCCTTGAATGCCTTCCTGAGAGTTCAAACGTGATCCTATGCCTGGAAGTGCCTGAGCCCCTAGGGGAATGTCAGAATTAGAAGTAGATTTTGCCTAATTACTTATTTTAACATTATTATTATCTCAAATATAATTCATGTAGATGGAAATGTACTTTCAAGCCTAATAGGAAGGTTAGAAATAAAAGGTTTAAAACTTCCTTTCACTCCCAACCCCCCAACTCCTGAGGACAGCTTTTTTTTTTTTTTACCATGTTTGTTGTTTCAGGTTTTTTGGTTTCATAACAGTGAAAATATATTCATACCCCTATTACTTGATTTATTAATTTTAACAGTGTCTATTGACTTCCTGCGGTGGTGATTTAATTAACCACCCTTTCCCCCTTCCTCCCCCCAGTTTTTCTGTTTTATATTTATTGGTTTTTCTATTGGTTATTGTTATCACTTTGAATAAGAGTCTTAAATGGATTTTTTTTCTGTAGATTGTATCTCTTGACTCTCTTCTGTGTGAAATGGATAATTTCCCTTGATATCCTCTCCCTGCTTCTTCCTTCCCCCATGAACTAAATTTTCACTTTTGCATGGTTGAGGTTTATATTAATAGCATTTATGTTCTAGCCTGTAAGGATAATTCAGTTTGGCATCGTTTGCCCGTAGATTGATTCTTAACATTGAAGACCAAATGACACTTATAACATTATGATTATGTAAATACAGTCACCGCAGAACCAGGGATTTGGTAGGCCCGATTGAAAGGGAGATGGAATTCCCTGGCACTACACCTGTGCCAGGTGAGACCTCGAGAAGTTTCCAGGTCAATAGAATACTACACCACAGTTAGCTCTACATATCAACATGGATATATCTCAATGACATAATGCTGAATTTAAAAGGCAAGATCATGTGAATAGTAAGGGAAAGTGAGAGTGGTGTATATAGTAACTCCCTGTGCTAATCTTCAATTTTTTTTTTTTTGTAAATCTAAAACCGTTCTAAAAAATAAAGACTGTCACGTACAAAAAAGCAAGCCGTGGGGTGATCCATATTGAAAACTGTCACGATCTGACTGTCAGAGTCACAGATGAAGAGTTGAGATTGGATATCACAAATGACTGAAATTACTGCTGTAAGGAAATTTTTTTTTTTTTATGTGAGAAGACTTCCCACTCTGGAATGTCCTGGTCATGATGGCAGAGACTTGACCAGGCCCCCTAAGACCAGTGAACTAAGCCATTCTGGTCCCTTTGGATAATGGAAGTTTCCCATAGCTGGGCAGAGAAAGAGGGAGTGGAGGTGTCTGTCGTTGGTGCCAGGTGGCATGGCGATAAAGGACAATGTTGGCTGACACTTAGCAGCGTTGAGTGTAGTGCTGCTTTGAGCCAGGCACTGGTCTAAATGCTTTATCTATAGTAGTCCTGTATTCCCCTATATTAATTTACCAAGTTAACCCTTACACCAAGTCGATGAGCTAAGTAGTGTTATTATCCTTATTTTACAGATGTGGAAATAGGCACAGAGAAATTAATTAATCTGTCCAAGGTTAGTAAATTTTTCTTTTGGAACCCGGCCAGTCTCTCTATCTCCTTATATTCTAAAATGTCTTATTGTTGTAAAAAAATAATCAAAGTAAGGTTTTTCCCAGGTTTGGGCCCAATGCCATTAACCCAATTTTTTGCTGTTTGCTCCACTGACTCATAATCGTACCTCTGCTGTATTCCTCATTCTCACTAATGCATGGATCTATTTCCTGGCTCCCTGTTCTGTCCTACTGATCAATTTGTCTAGTCCCAACCAATACGATATTGTTTTAACTCCATGGTTTTATGATAAATCTTGATATCTAGGGGGAACACTCCACTCCCTCAACTTGATTCCTATTTTTAATCATTGTATTAGCTATCTATACACCTTTATTCTTCCATATAAGTTGTAGAATCATTTTGTCAAGTTCCCTGAAGAATTCTGTTGGAATTTATATTAGAATGTCATTGACTTTACAGATTAGAGGTATAATCAAACATTTGTAATACTGAGTCTTATCATCCATAAACATGACATATTTCCATTCCTTCAGGTCTTCAATTCATTTTGGGGATTTTTCTTCATCAAAATATTATACATTTTTGTTAAATTATTCTGTACTTTATAATTTTTGTTGCTTTTTTCTTATTACCTTTCCACTTGGTTGTTGCCAGTATTAAGGAAGGCAATCATATTGTATTGACCTTGTCTCAAGAAATTTTACTGAACTCTCTTATTAATTCTAGTAATTTGTCTATTGATTCTTTTGTAAGTACATATATACCTGTATGATTATAAGGTCTGAAAATAATGACAGTTCCATCTTGTGTTATATTAGACTTATATACCCATTTTCATTTATATCTTTTTAGTAGATTGTACCTTTGGTAGATTGTATCATTCCTTATATGTCATATTTATTTTTCTTGCCTTATTGCATTGCTTAGGAGTTCTACTGCAATTTTGAATAGATGCATGGGGATTCTTGTCTTGTTCTTGACTTAAAAGGAAAATTTCTAAAGTTTCACAATTAGATATGATTTTTACTACAAATTTTTGATAAATACTTTACATTAAGAAAGTTTCTTTCTCTTACTAGGTTACTGCATACTTTTTTATTAATGAGCCTTGAAGTTTGTTGCATGTTTTCCCCATATCTTTTCATATATTTTTCTTCTTAATTTGGTTAATATGATGAAATATATTGATAGAATTCTTTAATGTTGAGTCATCTTCGCATTCCTAATATAACTCTTACTTAAGTATAATGTGCTGTTTTTAAAAACAGTACTATATGTGATTCGAAACATTTTAGTCAGATTTTTGCATTTGTGTTTTAAGGAAGGTTGGGCCGGGTGCGGTAGCTCATGCCTGTAATCCTAGCACTCTGGGAGGCCAAGGCTGAAGGTCAGGAGTTCGAAATCAGCCTGAGCAAGAGCAAGACCCCGTCTCTACTAAAAATAGAAAGAAATTAATTGACCAACTAAAAATACATAGAAAAACTTAGCTGGGCATGGTGGCGCATGCCTGTAGTCCCAGCTACTTGAGAGACTGAGGCAGAAGGATTGCTTGAGTCCAGCAGTTTGAGGTTGCTGTGAGCTAGGCTGATGCCATGGCACTCTAGCCTAGGCAACAGAGTGAGAGACTCTGTCTCAAAAAAAAAAAAAGAAAGAAAGATAGGCCGTGGCCAGGTGCTGTGGCTCACACCTGTAATCCTAGCACTCTGGGAGGCTGAGGCTGGTAGATCACTTAAACTTAGGAGTTCGAGACCAGCCTGAGCAAGAGTGAGACCCTGTCTCTACTAAAAATCGAAAAATTAGCTGGGCATGGTGGCACATGCCTGTAGTCCCAGCTACTTGGAGGCTGAAGCAGGAGGATCACTTGAACCCGGGAGTTTGAGGTTGCTATGAGCTATGATGATGCCACAGCACTTTAGCCAGGGTGACAGAGTGATACTCTGTCTCAAAAAAAAAAAAAAAAAGAAAGAAAGAAAAGAAAAGATAGACTAATAATATAATTTTTTTACTCTGTCTTCTCTAATTTTAGTATCAAGTTTGTGCTATCTTTATAATATTAATTAGGTAGAATTCCCTCTTTCTGGTCTCTGGAATAGTGTGTATATGACATGGGCTTTTTATTCCTTGAAAAATTTGGTGAAATTCATTGGAAAAGTATCCGGTGCCTCTTGATGATTCAGATTATTTACTACTATTTCAATTTATTAAATGACTATTAGTCTATTCAGTTCTATTTCTTTGTGAACCAATTTTAGAAATTTATATATTTCTAGAACTTGTCAATTTTATCTAGATTTTCACATTTAGTGACATAAAGTTGTTCATGGTATTCTCATGATTCAAAACATCTCCCCCAAAATTTCTACTTTATCAGAGCTAGTCCCCTTTTAATTCCTAATACTATTTTATTTGTGCTTGCTGTCTGTCAGTCTTTCTAGGTGTTTTCTTTGTTTTTCAAAGAACTAGATTTTCATTTTGTTTGTTAACTTTGCTTTTTATGTTGTTGTCATTATATTTTCTATTTCATTATCTTCTGCTCTTACCTTTCTTTTTTAGTTTCTTCTCCTTCCTTTGGTTTACACTTGTTCTTTTAATTCCTTCTTAAACCCTCAGCTTTTTTTTTTTTTTTTTTTAATAGAGACAGGGTCTTGCTCTGTTACGCAGGCTGG